TCCAACCTGGGATGGGCGAACATGGGATGTTGGCAATGGATGGGATATCGTTTGTAGCGTTGTTGCTGGTCGGACAAGTTTGGAAGTAAGAAAATAACAGAAACATTGGGCATGAGAAAACAAATGCAAGAAAAGCAGGGGTGTCAACAGCGACTAAAAAATTGGAAACATTTCAAGCAGCCAAAAGTTCATATTTGTTGTGTTGAAACATACCTCACCCATCCACTCAGTTCCCACAGCAACCACGTATGATTTTGTTGTCTGTACTGTATTCTTCTTCTTCTTCCTCTTCTTCTTCTTCTTCTTCGCTAGTCCGAGCAGCTCGGTTGCGTTGTGTTTGTTTACCGCAGAGCTGCGATATTTTCGCCTTTCAGTTGACACGTCTGACTATTTTTATCCATCATTTGCTGACCCTGTATTCAAGGCAGCAACATCTGAGCCAGTAAAAGACTCACAATTCCCTGAGCCGCGAAATCCCCCCGCCCCGACCCTAGGGTAACAAATTAGCAACATCCAGACAAAGCAAGAAGCTTAACAGTTTACATCCGAGAAACAAATCGCGTTACTGCACGTGTCAAGGCTGTCATGGCTACGGTTAACATAAGTCTTGTGTAGGTGGTCTGTCGCCATGCTGTCTGCAGACAGGAAGACACCGACCTACTAACAATTCCTGTGACGAATTGTGACAGCGGTGACAGGCGTCACAGCCTAGCAGGAACGTGTTGTTTTCAGCCCGTTGCCTCTCTGTTTGTGCAGCTGTGCGAATGCGCCAGCACGGATGTGTTTTTAACTAAGGTTTTTTATTTTCATTTTTTGCATAGGGTCAAGGTTAATGCCAAGGTACCGCGTTAGTAGGTTGCTGGGTCGAATTTACAAAGTGGTGTAGTTCTGTTCTGCTAGAGCGCACCAGGGCATCGCTTCGCCCAGCCCTAGCTCACCAGTCCCAGACTGTTGACTGACTTTCTACCCCACCAGGACATCACACAAGCGATAAACACCCGATGAAACATAGTGCCACCCTGTGAATGAGAATTACAGCGGAGAGATCCCAGAAACCGTGTTCAGCCAGTTGGCCATATTTATGGCCTGGCTATATTGCGGCCCACGACAAGAGCCAGGGTGGGGCTTCAAATAACGAAAAATTTCATCCTAAAAAGGATATCGAATAGCTCAACGTAGAAGCAACCAGTCCCAGGTGGAGCCCTGCCCCACGAATAATACCGAATCTTCTATTTGTATGGTCACTTTGGTGTGCATAAATAAAAGAAAACATAATAATAATAATAATAATAATAATAATAATAATAATAATAATAATAATAATAATAATATAAAAAAGAAGAAGAAGAAAAAAAGAAGAGTACTAGTAGTGGTTGTAGTGGTGGAGTGGTAGTGGTAGAGCAATAATAATAGCAACATCAAAAGGTAACAGTAGCAAAAAGAGTTGAAGCAGCAGCAGCAGCAACAGTAGTACTAGCAGTAGCAGTAGCAGTAGTAATTAGTAGTATTTAAGGCTTCATGTAGACATGTACATCATGTGCAGCTGCACAAGGCTCCACAGTTTTGAGTGCTGTAATCAATAACCAATAGTACAAAACATATTAATTTTTATATAGCTTGTTTCAATCATAAAACCCGAGTTACAGCATTAAATTATTTCTATTATTAAAGGTTGTTGCGTATCCTTTACAGGACGTTGCAGAACCAACCCTAACAGCTCCTGGCTGTTGTGTGGTTTCTCTAGGCAAATTACGTCCAGTAGTTTGCCATTGCTTCCTGGACGGTCGGCTTTCTTGATACCACTGTCGAAACCAACGCAAGGCGCATTGCCCGCAGCTGGGATCGAACCCGGCATCCCGGCATTACGAAGCGAAGTGTTCGCATCGACTTAGCCACAGAACCGACATTTCTATTATTATTATGATTATTTTTGTGATGAATGGCAAGTAAATATAATAATACAATTGAAATAATATGAAATTACACAAACACACTATTAGGGAAATTTCTATACATGGTTAAAGAAGGCTTGTTTGTCCCCTAAAATACATGGTTAAAGAAGGCTTGTTTGTCCCCTAAAATACATGGTTAAAGAAGGCTTGTTTGTCCCCTAAAATACATGGTTAAAGAAGGCTTGTTTGTCCCCTAAAATACATGGTTAAAGAAGGCTTGTTTGTCCCCTAAAATACATGGTTAAAGAAGGCTTGTTTGTCCCCTAAAATACATGGTTAAAGAAGGCTTGTTTGTCCGCTAAAATGTTTTGGATGGTTGTGGGGGGGGGGGGGGGGGGGGGTAAGAGCTGCGCTCAAGGGAACCAAGCACCTTTTTTTTACCCAAGGCGTCTCTTGTATCTTGTGCCGATTTTAAAGTTGGATGACCCCTATCCCTCTTTCCTGGGACGTGTCCTTTAACTTCGAGGGCGCGACACATGAAACGATCTGAAGTCAAAGCAAGAGGTCGCCCTAGGAGGTAATGGATTAATGACATTAGAGACCTTCTTCATCGACCCGGAATAATAATTACTGCCCATCAAGCAATGGATCACAAACTGTTCCTCCCCACGCATCTTCACGGCAAAAGAGGAAATTGATGATGATGATGATGACTGTGGTAGCATTTCAGCTCAAATAAGCTACGAGAAAACATGACGAAGCGCGTAACTAACTATTCACTTGAATTTTGCCGACAGTGCAGGTAATTTTGCTGACGGTGTAATTTCTTCACGATTTTATACATCTAAAGTCAATAACAAGACACGATCAGAAAATCTTCAGACAGGTATTACAATTGGAAGTAGACTGATCGAAGAAACTACGACACTCAAGAGAAACCTTAAGGCAAACATTGATGAGGTTAAAGTGCTCGGCTGGATTTATCCGTGATAATAAGATAGATAAGAAGGAGCAGATGGTGTGCCCTGTGTAGCATATAAATGAATGAATAAATCAGTCAAGAACTGGCATCACCGCACTCAGGACATTCTCATAGGTGCTCTGTCCCCTTCTTCAGTAGCCAAAAGAAGAGTCGTCATGCTGATACTAACGGCTGCAACCTGATTAAAAATTCGCACACGTTTTTCCCTCAGTTGAATATTTTTTAGAACCTCGGGGTGGGGGGGGGGGGAGGGGGCGTGGTCTCGAGGTTAGGTGTCCGCCTTGTGTGCTAGAGGTTCCGGGTTTAGGCCTCAGTGAAGGCTGGGATTTTTTCGCGTGGACTTCTAGTAATTTCCGCTGGTCTCTGGGTAGTGAGACCAGACGCCCGTGTGTATTGCTGAGCACATAAAACATCCCTTGGCAGTTGGAAGTCGAAAAAAGTAGCCTAACGGCGCTGCCCGGGCAAAATTTGGAGTTAAAAATCTGCCTAAAATTTCTAGGATCCTCGCCGGTGCTACAGAGCCCGTGCACTTCGCTGACCTACTTCGGACTCAGATTTGAGTTAGAAGAAGAACTGAGCACTTATGGGTCTCTACCCCTGTGCCATGACGTTGATCCGTTGTTCAAACCACAAACCTCAAACCTCGGAACCTCTACTCTCCCTCTGTTGATTTAATCTTTCAATACATGGACTATCTTGTCTTTTCTGTTGCACTGTCCGTTGAACTCCACAGACCATAAGCTCTATGCGACATACAATAGCATCATAAAGCAATGAAGGAATCAATGACAGGCAATAGGAACATGTTTCCGTGTGATTGTATAAACTTTGACTTGACGATAACTAACCGTCCGTCAACTACACTGTATTAAACAAACATTTTGAAAGTTCGTTTCACGAGTTCGTCCCCCCCCCCCCCAACCCCCCCACCCCGGCCACCCGGATATCCCACGTGATCATCGCTGAAGCTGCAGAGCTCATGCTATGGGGTATGTTCTCGGAAAGCAGAGACAAGGGTCCAGCCTGGTAACACCGATGTTGAACGGAGTATCTGCATTGTTGTTCTGCTGTCCATATTTTTTTTAAACTTTCGTTAGCACATCGGCGACCAGGTCGCCTATTAGCGCGCTGGTAGACGACTTTGACCCCAGTCGAGACAGCATTTGGGTCTATCTACGACTTTGACCCCAGTCGACACAGCATTTGGGTCTATCTACGACTTTGACCCCAGTCGAGACAGCATTTTGGTCTATCTACGACTTTGACCCCAGTCGAGACAGCATTTGGGTCTATCTATGAATTTGACACCAGTCGAGACAGCATTTTGGTCTATCTACGACTTTGACCCCAGTCGAGACAGCATTTGGGTCTATCTACGACTTTGACCCTAGTCGAGACAGCATTTGGGTCTATCTACGACTTTGACCCCAGTCGAGACAGTATTTGGGTCTATTTACGACTTTGACCCCAGTCGAGACAGCATTTGGGTCTATCTACGACTTTGACCCCAGTTGAGACAGCATTTGGGTCTATCTACGACTTTGACAGTCGAGACAACATTTGGGTCTATCTACGACTTTGACCCCAGTCGAAACAGTATTTGGGTAAATCTACGACTTTGACCCCAGACGAGACAGCATTTGGGTCTATCTACGACTTTGACCCCAGTCGAGACAGCATTTGGGTCTATCTACGACTTTGACACCGGTCGAGACAGCATTTGGGTCTATCTACGACTTTGACCCCAGTCGAGACAGCATTTGGGTCTATCTACGACTTTGACCCCAGTCAGACAGCATTTGGGTCTATCTACGACTTTGACCCCACTCGAGAAGCATTTGGGTCTATCTACGACTTTGACCCCAGTCGAGACAACATTTGGGTCTATCTACGACTTTGACCCCAGTCGAGTCAGCATTTGGGTCTGTCTCCTTTGATCGCATCAACACTGCAGGAGTCCTTTTCAGAGCTCCTGGTGGCGTGCAATGCTATTAGATATTTTAGATGACACACATAACCTAGTCGCAATTATAACCCAAAGCTCCTCCTTCTTCAGGGTTGCTGGTTGAACGTGACAATTTTTTTCCCTCAGCAAAGCATTTGATTAGATTTCGTTAGAAGTCCGG